TTTTTTTTTTTTTTTTAACACGGCCATTAAAAATATTATTTTTTCCTCATTTCATCATCTTTGGGATTTGTTAAAAAAAAAAATTTATTTCCAACAGATAAACTCTTATAATTATTTCCAACACATACACGAAAATTATAATTTCCTTTCGGGGGCGTTGCCCCCTCGAACCCCGCGACCTGACCGGGCAGATCGATCCCCGTTGGGGGCGTTGCCCCCGAACCCCCCACGAGGGAGGCGCTGCCCTCCCCGAGCCTCTCGAGAGGCTCCACTTGTCAATTTGGTTAAAAAAAATATGTAGCTTACTTCAGTTTACTTCATATACTTTAATTTTTTTTATTTTTATTATGATTTTCTTTACTTGTCATATTTTTTTGTCATTCCTGATTTTGTTAATATTGAATTTGTTTTCAATTTTTTATCAGGTTGCAAGATATCATTCTCAAAGTAAGAATATTAAAATTTTCAACATCAATTGAACCATGCTATCTTCACGTATGATATTTTGTTATTCTTTTATAGATTTTGTAGAGTTCAATTTTTAGTTAATCTTTGTATTTTTTTCCCCTAAAGTTTTCATTATAATATTTATCATTCAACTACTATTGACAAATTGTGGACTCTAATTTGTATTTATTGTTCTTTTGTATATAGTGTCCAATTGTATTTCTCGGTGGTTGTAATTGACTACAGTAGTGCACTCTATTTTCAGTAAGTTCCTCCAATTGAACTATCCAGGTTTTCGTTTATAGATTTATGTAGTACATTTATTTTAGTTTTTATAAAATTTGTAATAAATTGTTAGTTCTTGAGATTTCTTTGTACATACTACTTTTCTTTTCTGAGTGGAAGTGTCAATCTAGCTTCATCTTTTCAACTAATCATTCTTTGTCACGGACAAATTTAATCGTTGGAATATACATTTACCATACTCCACCGCAAGAATAATTTTTGAAATGGTCACAACAACAATGAACTGCAGCATCAAAACAAGGTAACAACTTCTGACTTCAAAGAAAAATTATGGTACATTGATTTGATTACATATTAGGTTGTTCAGATAAATTACATAAAAGTCAATGTCAGTTTAACTAAAATCTTAAGTTTTAGGGAGAGATCAACTTTATCAAATTCCTTAAATTTTTGCTATCCTTTCGTAATTAAACGAATTCAACTTTTTCTTCAATTGATTGACATTTTACTTTCTTTTATTCTATACAGTTCATACAATCATCCATCAAAAAATTATTGCAAAGACAAAGTTGAGGAAGATCCTAATCTAAGTGCAGAATTCGAAGACATACTTGTTGCCTCGATTCACCTCTCTAATCAAGAGCTTGACGCAAAGATCAAGTAATATGACATTTCAGATCCAGATACCAGGAACCCTCTTACTAACCCCTACCCTATCAATCTCATGTGTCAAACATCAATATGTCCATCTTCTTTGAGCCTATCTGAGAATGTGCATTCACACTTCAGATTATACAAATTATGTTCATTATACTAATATAATAATTTTTTAATATAAATTTTTTTCTACATTGATTTTTAATGACTAATTAACTATAAATACATGACTGAACTCATTTCAAATACTAACGATGCCTAAAATATAACCAAACCCGTGCATCGGACGGGCAAAAACTAGTATTTGAAAAGAATTTAGCCCATGTTCAGTTCAATTAAAAAACCCGATCAAATTTTAAGTCAAAAATCAATGTCTAATTCTAATAGCACATTTCATAAGACCCACAAATTTTCAATCACAAATTGCATCAACTACTAAAAATTTTACTTTTATCTAAAAATCACATATTAGAAGCTGCTAAAAACCTGATTTTTATTTAAACCAAACATGATCTTAATACGCAAATCCTCGGGATTGGCTACATTTTTACTAGCCCGACCATATCAACATTGCATCAATTTTCTTGAATCACGTATCTTTCTTGCAAGACAGAAATAAAACAAGGAGACTTGACATTTTTAAACAGGGATTAGGTTGGAACAAAAAAAGAGATCTATCAAGCTAGCTACTTCAATATTCGAAAAATTGATGCTTTCTTCCTTCCTTTTGAACTTCACTAGCTTAAAATGGATGTCTCCATTTTTCACTCAACTACAAGAACAGTAACTTAGGGGTTTTTCTCTTTGCCGTTTTCATCCCATTTTCTGTTTTCAATTTTCCAAAATAGTGAAAACACGTTTACTTACCTATTTTCAAAAACGACTTTAAAATTTACAAAGAAAATCGAAAACGTCAAAAATGTCTTTTTGGGTGTTTTCAGTTAAAACCAAACCAAAATTTTCAAAACGCGTTTTGGATGTTTTCGATTAAGCTGCCAACAACCACCGTCATCGCCGCTTGCACCATAACAGTCGTCGCCGCCATAACCATCGCCGACGACTTCACCGCTACAACAGCAGAAGAGACCGATGACGCCACCACCCAAAACCAAGCCGGGGACGCCACAGCCACAACGCCACCGACCTAAAACCATCGCCACAACCACAACGCCACCACGAGAAGACCCAAAAACAACGTACACCCCCACATCACCGACCCAAAACCATTTTGTACCGCTACAACCACCACACCACCACCGCAAGACGAGAGAGAGAGAGAGAGAGAGAGAGACGATAGAGATGAGAGACGAAGGAGAGAGAGAGAGAGAGAGAGAGAGAGAGAGAGAGAGAGAGGAGGAGAAGAAGAGAGAACAAGTTTTGGGTTTTTCATTTTTTAAAATAATTTTTCAAAATGACAAAAAGAATACATTTTCA